TATATCGTCTCAGGGAAATTGCGCTCTGATAATATCGCAACACTGTATTGTCAAATAATATATTTAGGGTTCATGTAGTATAGGTAAAAGAGTTAAATAATTATTCATTTATTAAAAAATATTTATCTCATAATATTAATTTAATATTATTATTATATTCTAGAAGAAACAATCCTTTTAAGTATTTTTTGCCTTTAAAAGGTGTGACAAAAAAAAATTGAAGAAGTTTTCTGCGTACACTATCAATTTCAGAAAAAGTGGTCATTACGTCAAACGAGAAACTGAGAGATGCAGGTGTTCTGGAAAAAGATAATAGAAGAGGCCGTTCCAGTTGTCAGAAATCGCGAGATGCAAAAATATATAAAAAGTAAAAATGTAAAATTTCATATTGATAGGTTCGGGTGGCACAAAATTGATCGAAAACATTTGATCGAATGCATTTGATCGAAAAAACATTTTATCGAATAACAATTGATCGAAAAGGAAAATGATCGAACAGAAAAATGATAGAAAAGAATAATGACCGAAAAGAATAATAATCTAAAATAGATTTGATAAAAAAGCAATTGATCGAAAAACCAAATTATCATAAAATTATAGAAAAATAAGAAAAATGAAAACAAAAATTTTAACAAATTTACCTAACCTGTGCGGCCTAGAATCATCGCTGGTTGCTTCGCAAAAACAAAAAATGAAAAAATAAAATAAACTTGAGTAACGTACCTAACTTACCTTACTTATGAAAGAGCAATAGCACAGGTTAGGTAAATTAGTTTTTTATTTTTATAATTTTTTTGCGAGAAAAACCGCGACGTTTCCAGACTGAAGCAATTTAACTGATTGCTCTGATACAGGTTAGGTAAGTTAGTTAGGTTTTTTAAAAGTAAATAAAACTGAAGAAAACCGACTTGGAGCAATTTAACTGATTGCTCTGTAAGAGGTTAGGTAAGTTAGTTAGGTTTTTAAAAACTTAACTAACTTACCTGAAACTAAACTTACTTACCTAACCTGTGTCAGAGCAATCAGTTAAATTGTTCCAGGCGGCACCCGTTGGGTAAATAAGTTAGGTTTTCTTTATTTTTCCCTTTTTTTTGTATAATTTTTTTTGCGCAGACCGCACAGGTTAGCTAAATTAGTTAAAAATTTTGTTTTCAGTTTTCTTATTTTTCTATAATTTTTTTTTGCAAAGACAGCGTAGGATCCAGGCCGCACAGGTTAGGTAAATTAATTACATTTCTTGTAATAAAAAAAGCTAAACTAACTTACCTAACATACGCGAGTGCAATCAGTTAAATTTAAATAGCGCAGGTTAGGTAAATTAGTTAAGTTTCTTATTTTTCCCTTTTTTGTATAATTTTTTTGTGAAGCAAATTGTGAGGGATCCAGGTCGCACAGGTTAGGTAAATTAATTAAATATTTTATATAAAAAAAATTAAAATAATATACCTAAAATATTCCATCGGGAGACAACTCGACCTTATTAATCCCAATGAAGATAAAATAATTATTTTTAAATTAACATTATTGTAAGGATAAAATTTGTTAAACGAGGTAGCTATCATTTGAGATTATTAAAAAATTAGCCATTAGTACCTAATTTTGATACCCGCTTAGTGTAGTTTCCCTGGTAATAGGGATTAGATGGATGGTTGAATGGTATCGTTTGATTTTTTACTTTTTTAATGTTCATTTTCGATATATTGTCCTTTCGATCTAATGAATTTTCGATCTATTGTCTTTTCGATAAAATGTTATTCGATAAAATATATCTTCGATCAAATGTATTTTCGATTAAATGCCATTCGATAAAATGTATTTTCGATCAAATTTCCAATTCGATCAAATGTTTTTCGATCAATTTTGTGCCACCCGATAGGTTCACCAGAGAAGAAACCCATTATTGCAGAAAATCTTCTAAACGAAAGTACCTCCATGAAGATTTGTCATTGCCAAAAATGTACGATATGTACAAAAACGAGATAGAAGGGAGAATGCCCACCTAAGTAAATTTTAAGAAGCTGAAGTAATGGCAGTGATTTCCCAGCAGATCTTAACTTAGATAATAGTAAAAAATGGTATACATTTTTTCAAATACTTTTAAAAATCCGTGTAAATTGCATCTACCTATCCTACTAAGTCAAAAATATCAGAATTATACTGTATAAAGCAAACTAGATTTGTAACAGTAGGTTTTTTTGACATAAAACCGTGTTGTTGTTCACTTATTGAAGTTTTGACTGAAATATAGATAATGTCATAGAGGATAATTTAAAAAATCTTACTTAAATTCGAGACACAAAAATGGTGGTTCCCATCTTATCGAGACTGAGGTCCACAAGGGTAAACTCGTAGCGTAACAAAAATAAGAAATTATTTAACTTGGAACGACAGACCGAAAGCCGATAGTAGTATTATGGCGTTGAATTTTTTGGTTTGTGAAGCATTGGCATTACTTAGGTTAAACCATGTGATGATTTTCACAAGCCTTGATTTTTAAAACTATTCTATATCGCCTTTTGATTAGGGTTTAAAAACTTGTTCGAGCAATTTATCCAATAATAATTGGCTTCTTTACCTTTTAAGCTTGGTTATGGAAAATATTTGGACTCCTTACTTCGACTATTTATATTCTATTAAGGTGATTACAGCACCCCCTTATAATTTTCGGACAAGGATATCACAAAAAGTAATTTTTTTAAAAAACTAAAATTTTGGCAAAATATATTAGGCAATAATATCTAAAATATGCATATATATTAAAATTTTAATTCCTTTCAGTTTCCGAGAAAAAAATCAAAGGGCTTTAAATTTTGAAATATCATAATGAAAATAAATGCATTCCTCAACAGCACTATTCTTAATATAATCCCCAAATTTAAGCTATTAATCTCTTGTAAATGATTTTTTAAAATTCGCCGAAATTAGTGGCTAAAACGCCTTGTTAAGTGCTATTTTCTGGTTTAAACTGGTGTAAACTGGTGTAAATTGTTGCAAGAAACGAATGATGACTCAGAGTGTACGATACGATAGTTACAGACGCATTACACTAGAAAAAAGCACTTAACAAGAGATTACGAGCTTATATTTGGGGATTATATTAGGAATAGTGCTGTTGAGGAATGCATTTATTTTCATTATGATATTTTAAAATTTAAAGCCCTTTGATTTTTTTTCTCGGAAACTGAAATGAATTAAAACTTTAAAAAATATTCATATTCTAGATACTATTGCCTAATTTATTTTGCTTAAATTTATATTTTCTAAAAAAATTACTTTTTGTGATATCCTTGTGCCAAAATTATAAGGGGGTGCTGTAATCACCTTAACAAAAGACAGAAGAATAAGTATTGCAACTATGTTAAAAGAAATAAATTGGCTTTCAGTTCAGAATTAAGTTCAGTACATGACTGATATTTATTTATAGAATTAAAATGACATAGTACCATCGTTGGAACTATCAAGCAGATAATTAAATTTTTCCGCGAGTCTGTTTTACGACGCAAACTTATTGCAAACATTCCTAAATTGTGTGAAACTGGGTGGTCAGAGAAATATAAAAGCATTCGTGTTTTTAAGAAAAACTTTGTCGATTTAGTTGATACACTAGAGATATTAGCTGAGGAGAGAAATGAAGCGACAAGAAAAAGGGCATATCAAATGCAAATCTTCTTTTATTGTATCAGTATCATTAATTGCTAAGTATTCCGCCCATAGCAAATATACTTCAAATGAAGACACTTGATATAGTTAAAGCCAACGAGCATATTGCAAGTATTGTTAAAATGCTAAGAGATCATCGGAAGAATGCGGAGAACGTAACGGCTGAAATTTTAAAACAAGCAGGCGATATAGCAAAGCCTTTAAATGTTGATATAACAGCAATAGGAGCAAATTGCTGGCCGACAAAAGCATAGAAACAACCCTCCAGCCAAACACCCAGGCGACTTTTGGAAAAGATATCTCTTAATGCCTTAGTTAAATTCAATCATTGGATCTCTATAAGTAAGATTTTCCACAGACAAATCACTTGCATTTTTATTAACCCATTTTCATCTGGGTAACACGAAACATGTTCCGTTGAAAGAATGAAAACAAGCACGTCATCTTGTGAAAGTTTCTACAATTTGAAAAGCATTGAAGGAAAAGGCGAATTATAGTTCAAAATGTGGAATTAGGTGCAAGAAACACCAGACATCACCGATGTTTTAAAAAAGAGCGAAAAGTTTTTTCGATAATTGGAAAAGATCTTCTGATAATGCAATCGCAACCTTGTACCACTAGCACTATCGAACGTTCGTTTAGCTCTCTTCGTAGAATCAAAACAGAGCTAAGGAGCACTATTAGTGAAAAAATAGATTAATTGGATTAGCTATGCTATTCATCGTCAGTGGGTTGTTGCAAACGAAGAGAAATTTTTAGAAGATGTGATTAGAAGAGTTGCAACTAATCCACGCAAACTATTGTTAAAAAATTAGGTTTTTTTTCTCAATAAATGGTGAATTTATTTTGGTATTATATAATATTTTAACACTATCCTTCCCTTAAAATATTGAATTCAGAAAGCATCCCCCCCTTTTGTTTTGAGTTGGATACGCCCTTATACAGTATGTATCTACAAATTTTTTTCTTTTTAATATATTTTTCTTTAACCCTTAAGTGCGCGCGCGGGGGCACTTAGTGCTCCGTTTTCAGTAAAAGAGTCATAATTTATTTGATTGGTCCTATTATTGCCGCCCCGCCCATCTAACATAACACTGGAATGTGCAGTGCCTGTACTAGCGTTTGTGGGTAGTTTGAATAAGGGTGACTTGAGATATGGATGTACATGAAGCGACCACTTATGTAATTATTATATTTTTATTATTATTATTATTATTTGCTCATATTATTTTGCTAAAATAGTGTTTGATACGCAGTATAAAAGATTTTTGTACGGTCCAAAATTGTTGGTTACAGTTTTTTTATGGTAATAAAATATTGTTATCTATTATTATTTCCAGGGAACCGAGAAATACGAATAAATTGACCGATCCAGAACTGGCTTATTATTTAGAGAATGATGGAGATGACATTGGTTCTGCAAGAGAGACTGACACCTACTGTATTGAATCTGAAGATTCCGAAAAAGAAATTCTTTATGAGAGTGAGCTTGATAGTGACTTAGAACAAAGCGTAGATCAGAATGTGGAGGAATATGATGACGAAAATATGGGTGACTCTGACAACGAAAATATGGAAAAGACAAACTAAATGGTATAAAAATCCAATTATTTCTAAAATTAGTAAAATTGAAGCTCAAAACATCATCAAAATTTTACCTGGACCAACACGTATTGCAAGAGATATTCCTGATGAATCTACAGCTATTCAAAAATTTATGGGTGTCCAAATGATTGATGACATACTCATGAACACTAACGTATACGTTCGAAATTACCAAACTCCCAAATATGGAAGAGATAGGGACGCCAAGGAAGTTACAAAAGCTGAACTGCTGGTATTTTTAGGCTTACTTTATCTTGCTGGAGTTAAAAAGGCAAATCACATCAATTTCCAAGATCTATGGACACATGATGGCACTGGCATCGAATTTTTTCGCGGTTGCATGAGCTACAAAAGATTTTTATTTTTTTTGGGTAGCATTAGGTTTGATGATAAAAAGACAAGATCTGACAGACGCAAAATAGACAAATTAGCCCCAATTCGATCTACTTTAGATATGTTTGTAGATAACTGTAAAAAAAGCTATTGTGTTGGGGAATTCGTCACAATAGATAAGAAACTAGAACCATTCCGAGGCCGTTGCAGCTTCATTCAATGCGTACGAGCGTTTTTGGTTTAAAAGTATTTACTAATTTTACAAATTGTCTACCACCCTTGATACGCTTGTGAACACACCGACTAGCTCAGGAGCTGGGGTTCTTGAATTTATAACGCGCCAGAGGTTTGATGGGCTAACTCAAACCACAAAGTTCCTCGTTGTTTAGAGGATAGACAACCACTTAACCAAGATATGTTAGAAATTTATTACAATTTATCAATGTTACAATTTTGACTATAAATTTAGGCTCAAATAAAACTTGTTACTATTATTAACCATTAATTAATCAGAAATATTAGGATTATCCAGAAAAGACAAATCCACCGGCCTGGAACTCAAACATGACAAAATGGTGGGTAGGTCCCCGCGTCAGCACTCTTCGTCATACAACGCCGGTTTAAATCCTTCTTTAAAAGAATATTTCGTACCCTATCCAAACTATATACCACAACCACGATAAAGGGTAAGAAAAGGGTATAAATCGAATCAAAATCCAACTCACAGTTGCTTAACCAAAAATATATGACTCGACCACCTCACAGCGTCCAAACACGAGTACCCAGATCTGTCACCAGTACAAAGAGGGAGGAAACAGGAAGCAAAAAACCCAACTTCTAGTTGGACATTCTTTTTGGTGAAAATGGCCTGAACCATTGACCTATATAGTATAACGGCTCACAGAAATTATACACAACTTAAAACCTAGAAAACTAATTACCTAACTAGCTTAATTTATTAAAAACCCTAAATCTACCAAAGTTACTTTTCCCCAAGAGTAAACCCTTAATCAAAAGAATATCATAATTAAAATTATCTAAGTGGCTGTATGTGCTACACAGTTCAGTGCGGCTCAGACAAAGAAAAGGTGTATAGCGACTAGCTAAGTGACTGCTCGAGATTGAGCGACACAGAAACGATGCATTGACCTACTGACATATATTCTAACCATAAATAAAAATAAACAGAACCGCACTTAGCTCTGAATTTGGAATTTCTATTATACATATTAAATTAATGTGATACGGAAATGAAATACACAAAGTGCACAGCTGGCAATAAGGATATTTCCCTATTAAAAACAAAATAACCAATACTAAAAGGTTTATATTGTACCAAAGGTATGTTTTAACTACTGACAATTAACTTTAAATAAAAATATAGTAATATTTATCACCCAAAGACTATTAAATAAAAATACTCTTGTACTTAAAAAAAAGTGTAACAACATACCAAATAAACCCGCCAAATATGGTATCAAGATTTTTGCAATGTGCGACTCCAAAACATATTATACGCATAATCTAGAAATTTATTGCTGAAAACAACCAGATGGACCCTATGCAAAGTCAAATACTCCAACAGACATTGTGCGTAGGTTGTTAGAACCAGTAAAAGGAAAGAATCGTAATTTGACATGCGATAATTGGTATACTAGCATACCACTTGCAGAAGTTCTTTTCAAGGATAAAATAACACTGGTAGGTACATTGAAAAAGAACAAAAGAGAAATTCCCCTAATTTTTTGCCAAATAAAAACAAGATTGTCAAAAGTTTAATGTTTGGATTTCAAAAAACTATAACCATGGTATCCTATGCCACGAAAAAAAAAATTAAGGAGTTATTCTAATTTCCACAATGCATTATGACGCTGCAATGGACCAAAAAACAAATAAACTAGAAGTAATCACCTTCTACAACTCAACCAAAGGAGGAATTAATACAGTAGATCAATTGTGCAACTCATATTCTATTTTAAGAAGAACTAGAAGGTGGCCTTTAGCTGTATTTTTTCACTGCTGAATGTAGCAGGAATTAACGCCCAAATTATCTATAATGCCTCTCATTCCGAGTCACCACAACTAAGGAGAATCTTTTTGAAAAGCCTGTCTTTGAATTTGATGAAACCGCATCTAAGAGAACGAGCTACAATTTTTTCGTTACCAACAAACATAAAATCAATTCTGTCAAAATATGGAGTTGAAGAAGATGTCCAAGAAAATGTTCCAGAAGAAAAACGTAGTGGTCGCTGTTGTTTTTGCCCGAAAGCAGAAAGGATAAACACCACGATAAAATGTAGTACTTGTCGGAAATTTGCTTGTGAAAAACATATTGACATCATATATACTTGCCAAAATTGTTCAAAACTAACTGGCAGCGACCTGAGTTTCTAAAATATATTTTTATTATTTTTTTTATAGAATTGATTTTATTTTATTTGTTTCACTACTTTTCTCTTTTGTTTGTTTTTTGTTGTTTTGCAATAGGAATAAAGTTACCTGAGACTGGGGTCTATTCTGTAACAATTCCTTTATATCTAACGGCTTTAAAAATATTTTCTTCTTTACTTCCGTCATTATTTAAACGGATCTTTAAAATACATTAGAGGACTATCTTAAAGAAATCTGTTTAAATAACGACAGAAGTAAATTAACGAATAGAAACATATTTTTAAAGGTCGCCAATATTTTTAAAGGCCGTTAAATATAAAGGAATTTTTACAGAATAGACCCCAATGGGGTCTATTCTGTAAAAATTCCTTTTTATTTAACGGCTTTAAAAATATTTTCTTCTTTAATTCGGTCACTATTTAAACGGATTTTTAAAATACATTAGAGGACTATCTTAAAGAAATCTGTTTAAATAATGATAGAAGTAAATTAACGAATACAAATATACTTTTAAAGGCCGCCAATATTTTTAAAGGCCGTTAAATATAAAGGAATTGTTACAGAATAGACCTCTATATATCATATTTTAATATTTCATAAGACATATATTTTTTTTTTGATGTTATGAATTTTTTTATGTTAGAATGTAAGTACGCTATATAAAAATAAAAAGTATACATCTATAACATTTTGAATCGTATTACAACATTGAACGTAAGGTGCACAAAGTGCTCCCCGCGACTACCTATGTAATAAAGTTGGCGCGCCTACTTAAGGGTTAAATAAAACAAGACTCATATTGAAATATACAACTTAAATGATATTTAGTACCTTTTTAAGCAACTCTGTGTAAATAAAAGTTTCTAATTCACTTCTTCTTTTAAATAAAGTATACATTTCTTGAATGCAGTTTACGTCTAACTAATCCTTCGTAACTGCGTCATTTGCATTCTACATATTTACACAAAATTCGTTTTTGTGTACTTTTAATTTTTAGTTGAAACTAGCGCGTTCAATTTTAATGTTCAACCCACATAAAACCGCTATTTCCGCGAAGATTTACTCACATCTCAGACACGGCTACAACAAGAGGAAAACTTTCTATAAGACCTCGTGAGCCGCATCTCCGCGCTCCGCCCCGAACTTGCATTGTAGAACATTCCAGTAAATGTGTTCTACATATAAAGAAGCACCGAGCCAAGAAATAAATCTCCAATTCCTCTAAGTGCTATTCGAACGAAAGATAAGGACCGATTTGCGGAATAGTTTTATATATATACTGATGTGTTCGCAACTTAGTGTAAATCAATGGGTGCCTTGTATACGTTCAGATGGGGTTGCGGTGATAAATGTTGATAAATTTCGTCGAGTTTATTGCTGATACTTTTATCGCGGAACAAGTTTTGTTGTTTCGGTTTCATGGGAGAGTGGGTGTACTTTTCGCCTGCTTATCGGACTTTTGAAGTTTATTGGGGGAGTTTTTGACAAAGAAAAAACACGAGATATTGATAAATAATACTATCCGCTGGTTGTTGGGTGGTGTAAAAATATTTACAGGGTGGGACCTTACGTGGTAAACACACTGTATTTTTTAACAAAATACTATGTGTGCTTTATTTTACTCATTAAAATCTGATAATTATAAATTATCAATGATTATTTTAATTCTAAGTTTTCTTGATTTAAGCAGGTGTATTTATTTAAAATATGTATGCGTTAAACAAATTTTGTTTAATCCAAGTCAATCATTCTTCTGTAAAGAAATTCGAGTATTTTAATATAAATTTAAATTTGCTTCAAATTCATTTACACAATTTGTTCTGTTCCGGCGCATTTAAATATATTATTTTTTTGTTTTAATATATAAACTGCTGACCACTCAAACTTACACATAGAGATTTTTAGGCAAAATTTTAGAGTTCAATATTTTTAACAGGAATGGAAATTTTTAAATGCGGCTTGAAGATTTTAAGAGCTAGTTTTTTTCGGAATAAGCTGCATGACGTATATTTATGGTAGAACTATAAATTTATTATATACGGGGTGAGCAATGAACTCATGCAAAAAATCAAAAAGTTTGTGGATGTGAAATTTCTGCAAACAATTTTTTTGGTCGTTGCAATATGGTTCTTTACTAAGGTAACATCAATATCTCTAGATATTTTTGTCAGTTTTTGTATTAAGGCTCCTAGGTCTTCTACACACTACTAAACATAAAATTTGGGTAGCAAAATTTTTAAACTGCTATAATTTGACATAGGATTTACGGTTCTTGATGATTTTTGCGGATTTAGAATCCTTATTTCATGTAGATTTTCGATAGTCTAAGCATTTTATTTGAGGTTTGTAATTTACACATTATACCGGGTCGATAATAGGCAAAAATGTAGCGTACGACGCGCTCTAAGATTTGGCATTATTTAAATTTTTGTAAAAATAAACTCTCACCTTAAGTTGTTTTTATTTAATGTCCTTCTCATTGTTCTGTCAAAAACTCTCACCCCAATTTGTTGTCTTAAAGAGTCATGGCAAAATGTTAGTTTGAAGAGGGCCAAATTAGCGGCATTTGGAGGAAAATATGGACCCTCAAGGGGCATTTGGTGCCGGAAGTATTACAGTGTGGGGAGGTATTATAGGAAATGGTAAAATCAAGCTATTCATTACCAACCAAACCGCTAACGCTACTGTTTATTAGAAGGAAATTTTGGAACCTATTGTTGTTTCTTTTGCTCGAAATTACGGCCCAGAATTTCTGTTGGTGGATGACAATGCTCGACCTTACAGAGAGCGAAGGATCACAAAGTTTTTGCAAGCACAGAACATCAATAGGATGAATTGGCTTGCAAAGTCTCGAAATCATAATGTCATCACGTTTGGTCTTATTTAAAACGATTAGTGAGGCCATTTGTAAAGAATCCGAGAATATTCCACAATATTTTATAAATAATCTTGTGGATACTCTACCAAATCGATATCGGGAAGTGATATGTCGAACAAGAGGACCAACAAAATATTAGTTCCTCTTTTTCTTAATTAATATACCTACTTAATTTAGGGTAAATTATTAGGTATTTAAAGATAGGACACTTGGCATTTTTCTATTAATATTTGCCAGTTGCTTTCAATGACCTCGTCCATTTAACACGCCGCGGCGTGCCACCAATAACCCAATTTTATTGTAAACTCCGAAAATGCAAGGTTGCAATTCCCTTCTTTGATGCAGTGGGTTCAAAACAAAAATTAATGGACAGACAATTTATGTTTTTCAGGCTATTTTTTTTTTAATTATTAA